AAGTGCTCCATTTGACTTTATATGTTCATTCACACTGCAAGTCATCCCACAAGGATTGGAGGTGACTTCATGTAGTTTCTTTTTCTAACCAATTGGCTGTCCATGGAGCCCTGTGATTGCTTTTTGCCCTGTCCTATCTGAACATCTCCTCCCCCTTCGGGATCATCCAATTCCTGCCAAGTTCTCCACCCCGGCTGGGGCCAGGAGGCACGTTCTTTTGTGTGCACATTCCTGGGAACTTCTGATCAGAGAGAATTGAACATGCAAAATCCCCTTTTCTATACCAATCCAGGACCTAACCCAACCGTTTCCTAGAAGTACCAGGTAAGACAGAGGTAAGTGACAGCTTCTTTGAGTTGTGTGTGTGTGTGTATTTGTGTGTATCTGCCACAGGGCAGTAAAAGATATACAAAACCCTGTGTGTGTAGGTGTGTGTATCTGCCACAGGGCAGTAAAAGATATACAAAACCCTGAACTTAAAATCTGAAGACCCTGTTTCAAGTTCTGGCAATGCCGCTTACAGGTTAGCTGACCTTGGGCAAGTCTCTTAACTTCTCTGACACTTTGTTTCCTTAATAGCAAAGTGAGGATGGTGATAGTAAGGGAGAGGGAAAAATGGGAATATATGTGTGATATGGCCAGGACAGTGACTGGCACATAGAAGGTGATTGATTTCGTGTTAGGCAACTTTGAATGTGGTGGGCTGTGGGAGGAGGGTGCAGAGAGGAGCAGAAGAGACCCAGAAGGTGAACACTTGAAAGAAAACTCCATTATGCAAAAGTTTGTTCACATTATATAAAGTGAACGTTTTTCACTAAATTTATTTTTTTTTAATATCTAACTGGGGCGTTTGGGCTTCAGAATTTGCTGGGAGTAGAGAACACCTCAACATTTATTGAACCCTTACTGTGAATTAGACCCAGGGCTGGCAAAGTGATTTATGTAGGTTATCTCACTAATCCTTGTGGAAAGCTGGGCTGTAGGTATTATTACTGTGTCCTCAAGTTCCGAGACATAAACAGTGGCCAAGATCACCGAGCTGGTAGCCTAACCTTGCTCTGTAACTCTTGGATCCTTTATCACACTAAGTATGTTGCCTCAAAACAAATAGCTTTTTCAGTGTGAATTCTTGTGAAATCAGAGCTCTGTTGCAGGAACTCTTCAAGGCACTGTGTACCTGGGCACATAGTGGTGAGCCTAGCCACCTCTCAAAGCCACAGTGCCAAATTGATTACAAAATGCACTTTAAAGCACTTCAAAAGATTGTTCTTTAAAACGATTTCATAGGGTGTCCTTGGACTATAAACTCTAAAAGAGTAGAAACTCTTGCAGTCTAATTAATCTATGATTATCTGAAACCATACATGGCACATAATAGATCCTCAATACATAGCTGATGAATGTAAAATATATTTTTCTGTAATTCTCACATTCTGTAGGCACACTGGCTTTTCCCGCCTCAACTTTCATCTTCTAGTTTTCTGAATTACGACCAAAAGGGGAGAATCTAACATTTGCTTGAGTACCTGTCATGTGTCAGGTATTGTGATGAATAGATATAGATGTAGATACATATGTAGGTATAAATATAGTTATAAATATCAATATAATTATATACAGCAATAGATATACAGATATGGGTATAGTTATAAATACAGATATAGATGTAGATGTAGTTATAGATATAGTGACAGATATTGATATACCTATAGATATTGGCATAGTTATAGATATAGACACAGAAATAGATATAGTTCTAAAGATAGATATGTATAGGATAGACATATAGACATAGATATCTCTGACTTTTAGTCCTCTTGACAGACTGTGAGATTAGGTTCTTACTTATTAATGGAACTGGACCCTGCAGTGTCCATGTTTGGGAAGTTATTCCTGATCCTTCTCTTTAGACTCTAATTCCAAGGGTTAAGCAGCCGTTTCTTTTTGTGAGGCCTAGTTGTTCAATGGCAGTTTCCCCAGAGAGAGTGCTAAGTGACAGTAGCTCCCATTTCTGGAGCACTTATCTGTGCTGTCTGTGCCGAATGCTTTATACAGGATGTCATTCATTCATCAACACGGCTCTAGGAAATAGGTGCTGCCCGTATGTTCGTATTTCAGAGAAAGGTTAGAGAATTGCCTGAAGTTACGTAGGTGGTGACTGGAGGGGCTGGAACTGGGACCTGTGCTGTGTGACTCCCAAGGGCAGGCTCTCAGCTACCACAGTGCTCAGCGGGGCACTGTGTTTGGCCCTCTCATGTGATGAGGGTTAAATTAGAATTGCAAACACATTTGCAAGATGATGCCAAAGTCATTTCTTTCTTATTTGATTAAACCAACATGACCTCAATATAATAAATTTTTAAAAAAGAGGGGTGTATTAGTTTGCTAGGGCTGCCGTAACAAAATACCACAGACTGGGGTGCTTAAACAACAGAAATTTATTTTCTCACAGTTCTGTAGGTGAGAAATCCACGATCAAGGTGTTGGCAGGGCTGTTTCTTCTGAGGCCTCGCTCCTTGGCTGGTGGATAGCTGTCTTCATGTTCACATGGCATTCTCCCTCTGGGTGTGTCCTAATCTTTTCTTATAAGGACACCTGTTAAATTGGATTAGGATCCATCTAATGGTCTCATTTTACCTTAATTACCTCTTTAAAGATCCTGTCTCCAAATACAGTCACATTCTGAGGTACTGTGGTGTTAGGACTTCAATATATGAATTTTGAGGGAACGTAATTTAGCTCACAATAAAGGATTAATTAATTTCCTCCTTATTTCTCTCCTTTTGTTTTGGTCTTTAGCCACTTATTAAGGGGTTGTTTGCCCTGTCTTGGGGTATTTTAAGGAAGATCCTGAGGTCATTTATACACCTATGTATAAAAATGGCAACTGAGGCTGGTATTCTTGCTCTAAATTGGCTCCTGCCTGTAAAGGGAGGTATGTATTGGAAAGAAATAGCAGAGCAGGTGGGCTTCTAGAAACCAGCTCTGCTATTAAACTTGCCTTGCAACCTTGGGAAATCCCTGTCTCTCCTGGGATGTTGGCTTGGATCAGGGATTTTAAGCTCAAATGTCCAAAGGAGCTAGACAGGTGCAGTAAGTGGAGAAGCAGACAGGTGTGACAAAATAAGGAGTGGTGGAGGCAGTGTCAAATTGGAGAACATCCCATTTAAGTGAAGCAGAAAATTCTCAGCTCCAGCCAGTTGGTGCTAGCTTGAAATAAAGGCACCGTGTCGCTAGACCTTCTAAGTTTTCAAGAGAAACCTTCATTCAAGACTTTTAAAAGAAATCTCCCAAATTTTAAATGTTGGCAGTTCAAATTTTATTTCCAAAGACTGAGGGCCAAAAGGAATATGTCCAAGGGCCAGGTCTGGGCCAGCTGATATCTTAGGGTCTTCTTGCCCCAAAGTGCTGACAAAACCAAAGGTGGTAGGTACTGTTGATTGATTGACAGGCACTAAAAGAAAAGAGGGCATACTTTAGTTCCTGTGGCCCAAGGATCCATGCTGAGAAGCAAACTCTAAGGGATGAACTTTCCATAGATCTATCCTCTTTTCTGCAGACAGTAACCCAATTGTATATTGAGCATTGCCTCCTCTACTAGAAATACATAGCGGGGTTCTAGGGGACAACATCCAAATTAATTGGAGGTAGGTTATTATGGGTCTTTACCAGCTAAAAATAAACTGAGTCAAGTTTTGTTGACCTATTCTATGGGTCTGTTGTCAAACAGGATTATCTTATTGCTGAAACTGAGAAGGAGGGGGTTTAATTGTTTGCGGCGATAAAGTGCTTGAATCTCAAAGCTGTTTGCAAAGTGACTTTCTTCAGGCAACGTTCTCAGAAAGATAGTTCTAGCTTAAGCCAATTTGCACAATCAAACTTCCAGAAGGCCCTAATAATTGAGGGTCCTGTTCCCATGTTAGGGGCATTTGTTGGGATCTAGAGCAGCACAGAAGTTTCATTTCATGTGTCAACTCTAATGGATTGGTAATACCTGCCTGGAAGCTGTCCTGGGGAAGACCCTGAAGCCAGATCCCAGTCCAGTAGAGAAGGTGCTGTGATATTAACCTGGTCTGTCCTGAGTATGGTGATGTATATTTGTCAACATCCTTATAGTCTCAAGTGACAGAAACCTAATCTCAGGCAGGAAAATTGGTTGGCTCATAGAATCCAGGACAGGATACTAACAAGAGAGGAGTAGAGGTGTAGACGGGCTTCCGGAACAATGTGAATCAGTGACTTGACTCCTCTGAGATACTCTCTGCCCCTCATCTCCACGTCTCTGCACATCAGTTTTCTTCTCTCCTGTAGAGCGGATACCTCCACATGATGGAAATCATAACCACAGTCAGTTCCCAAAATGTGCATTTTATGGCTTCCACCAGAGAGAGACTGCCTGATAGCCTCTTTGGTAACAAGCACATACACAAAAATTTTGGAGAGGGATTATGATTAACCCAGTTTGGATTTAAAAATCATGGGGAATTACTGCTCAACCCTGGGGAATTACTGCTCAACCCTGGACCAATCAACTTTAGACAGGAGTTGAAATCATCTAAAAACATGACAGCTTCCATGAGAACCATACATTTGGGCTCAGCGGGAAGATAGGTCTCCAGAGCAAGGATAACATAGGATATAAGACCTCCAAATTGTGAGTTTCTACCACAAATGGATGTCCACGTGGCTGCCATCCTGAGCTTAAATCCCAGGGGGTGAAGGAGAAGACCCTCAGGAACGAGTACCAACCTCATCTAGTATCTACAGCTTCTCCCTGTCGTTTTCTGCCTTGTTCTTCCTCAGCTGGGAAGAGACATCCCCACCTAAATCAATAAGTTGTGCCTTGCACATTCCAGTGAGCTGAAACAAAGCTATAACTCTAGCAATTAACCAGGAACGTCCCTCCATTTTGTGGAGGAAATTCCTATTCCGTGACCAATCTATTAACCATCTCTTCCCAAGGCAGGTGGTGACTGGAGAACTCTGTGCCTGCTTCCTGAGGACTGCCCCACCATGCAGTGGCTGATGAGGTTCCGGGTCCTGTGGGGCATCCACAAATCCTGCCATGGCTTCCTCCCTGCCCCTCGGTACCTGCGCTGCCAGCCTTTATCAGGAGCTGAAGCCCCAAGATGGAATGACCACTATACACCCGAGGAATTTAACTTTGCAAGTGATATACTGGATTACTGGACTCAAATGGAGAAGGTGAGGAGGCATCTGTGATGAGGGGGTGAGAACAGGAGTGACCTCACTGCCCTTATCCTGCTCCTAGTAGGCTGAGGGGCGCAGAATCAAGACCAGCTTCTGCCTCAGCTTATCAGTGTCATGGAAAAAACTTAAGTTTTGGGATCCAATTCTCAGCCTAGCCATTTCCTCACTTCTCTGAGCCTCAGTGGTTTCATCTGTGAAATGGGGATAATCTCATTTAAGAAACAATACATCAGGTACACAGTCAGTGCTCCATAATTGTGAACAACTACAAAGTTCTAATCACAAAGTCCACAAATTGATGTTAGTCTAAGTCTCTTAGTCTTCAGTGAATGGGACTGTGAGTCTCACTGGAATTCATCTCCTCAAACTTGGGCTTAACTTCAGGCTACACTCGGAGGGGGCAGACTACCTCATTGTGCACATGAGCATCTGACACATGTAGGTAAGTCACGTCATCCATCTTCCTGCGAGGATGGCAAGTCCAACTGACATCCTCCCTATCAACTACCTACGGGAACATGGCTTTAGGGTATTTCCAGAGAAACCAGTCCCTGTGGCCTCTAGAGGTTACATATCTCTGCAGAAAAACCGAAGTTCTTAGTTTGTTTTTTCCCCAGAGACAGACCAAGAGAGCAGCGTTGGTGACACTAGGAGTTGGGGTATATGATGGGTGGTGTTCTAGCTACTAAGTTCTAGCTGGTGATGTGCACAGTGTGAAAACTCGCTCAACATTGTCTTTGTACAGAAGAGAGAATTCGCCTGAGATGGAGTCAGAGATTTGGTATAATTTTTAAGTTTCCTATGAACATGTATTCATATGTTAGTATTCAAAGTTTATATGCCTTTCATGGGGGCTTCCTCCCCACCTCCTTCTTTTTCCTTCCTCTGAATTTCCATAATAACCCCAAGGAAAATAGAGCCCTCAGTTATGGAGAACTTTTTTTATGTGCCGTGTCAATACTTTACATTTAATACTCCAATTAGATGTGCACTTTTATTATCCCCAGTTTCCAGATGAGGAAACTGAGGTTCCAAGTGTTTAAATAACCTATGGAAATCACATACCTAACAAGTGAAGGAACAGAATTTGGGTCCAGGCTGTCTGAGTCGATAATCTATTACAGTTATGCACCACATAAGGATATTTTGGTCAACGTCAGACCACATATACAACAGTGGTCCCATAAGACTAGTACCATATAGCCTATGTGTATAGTAGGCTATATCATCTAGGTTTGTTTAAGTACACTCTATGATGTTCATACAATGATGAAATTGCCAAATGATGCATTTCTCAGAACTCAGAATAGTATTTAATGACTGTATTTAAGCTAGTTTCACAACTGATGATGCCAAAACATCTCTGCCTTCAGACTATAAACTGACTTTCATCGCTGCCCACACCAGAAATCTGGTTAAGACCTTTTGAATCACGAGATGGGCTGGAGAGGGAGGAGGTAGAGAGGAGGAAGTGATGGCATCACTTTTCCCTCATTTCTCTTCATAAAGTCCTTATCAGTTAGTTCAGACATCAACCCATGGAGATAACTACCAACTAAATTCCCCCAGAGAACACCAGTCTTTGTTGGGTTTTATACCTCGTTATCAGTCATGGTCAGTTCCTCCATATATCCAAATTTCTCCCACCCCCAGGATCCCCATCACATTAATTTTCATTCTCACAGCACTGCTGATCTTTCTGTTTCTACTTTTCCAATTTCCTTGATCATGGTCAGTGTCTTTCTAGTGACCCATGGTGCCTGACACCTAGCAGTCCCTTGATAAACATTTGTGGAATAAATTAATTTTGAAACTTGCATTATAAGCACCATAGGTTTTATTGCTGCTGCTATGAAAGACCCTCCAGAGGGCATGCCACCACAGTCCACTCTGGCTTCCTGGACCTCCCGTTACAGCTTAACAAGCATCAGCCAGAAGCTGATCCATGGTTAACCAACAACACAGCCCAAAACATAACAGATTGACAGAATTTATCTTGACTCACTTTTCAACACATTTTACCTATAAAATGTAAGTTAGAAATCCAACATTTTTATGTGAAATCTTCTGATTATTTTTTTAGTGTTGACAAAGAATTCATTATAAAACAAAAGAAAATGCCTTATAAGCTAGACAACATAGGTCCATGGGTGGAATACAGTTGCTTGTTCAGGCCACCAGCTTATAACCCCTGACTGTCCTTGGAAATTAAACCCTATGTTACTCTAGGCTCCTAGGATATTACATTCAATTTCAATTGATTCCTGGAGCAACCTCCCAAGTCTGTACAGGAGAGGTCAGATTCATGCCCAAATTCATTCATTCTGTCTCCTTAATACTGCATTCATTCAGCTAAGACTTGGTGAGCACTTCACATATGCCAAGCATTATTCTAGATAATAGAAATAGAAAAGTAAACAAAACATACAACTCTTCATTTTTCCTCTTTAGATGATGTGATTCCCCACTTTATGTCTTAGGAGAGCTGAGTACAGCATCTGGGATGTTAACTTCTGTTTGTTTTGCCAAAAAATCATGACATGAGCAAATTCTTCCTACCAATCTCTGATGCAATTTAACATTAAACATTGCTCAAGAAATATAGTCAAAAATATATTAACCACAAAGATTTAAAAAAAAAACCCAGCTGAATATCATTGATACATAATGTCTGGCTCTTTGTCCCATAACGTTTGCTGAAGGAAATTAATTTATATGCTGCCAAACATTCCAAATTCCTTAATATCCAATAGTCAGGTCTGCCTGGGATTCTTTGAGCCAGTGGATGTGTTTTGTGGCTCCTGAATTTAATTCCATAATTTTACATAAATAATTAGTAACAGTCCTAGGACCTATACAATTTAAAAGGGTCCTCATGTTCCTCTGAAACTATTAGACTTTTGTCCCAGCATCCCATAAAGGACTCCTCCATGGTATTCACAAAGAGTCTAAATCTTTTGTAATTCTTACACACGTAGTGTTATTGGCACTAGAATGTAAGTTCCATGAGGTCATGGAATTTCTTCCTGTTTTGTTCACTGTTGTATCCCCAGTGTGTAGAACATGCCTGGCACATACACAATTTGTTGAATGAATGTAAATGTGTGCAGCACCCTGGACAGCAACACAACCAGCACAAGATAAACAACATTGGTGCCTGGCTGTGACTTGGTTTATTTCAGCAAAGGGCTGTTTACTTTCTCACGGGTGTATTGTAAACATTCATAGGCGAATATGGGAAGCTTTGGCACAGGCGGACCTCATGCAGAGAAGGCAACGGAGTTCAGGAACCAGGATTGGGCTTTGGGGCTTCTTATGTAGAAATCACATCTCAAAATAACTAAACATTCATTCCCGTATGGCAGCAGTTGGTAGAGCTAAATCGTTGCTGCCCCCTTGGGAGGTGTGTGGCTCTCCAGTTTGCCCCAGAGGAACCTGGCAGGCTTCTCTCATTTATGTTACTTGCCTGGTCCCTGTAGGCTCTGATATGCAATCTCTGGAATAAAAACAAGATTATCCCAACTTATCTAAATATTAATGGAATAATACATATTATTTCCCAATTAAACATAATGCAAAAAGTTTTACCTTCCAGGCCTTTAGAGTAATCTTCCATGGTAAATTCTTTTACAGTCTGGGTATCAATCAATTACTGGTTCATCCATGTGAATTGATTCTCCATGACTGTGTCTCCCAGTTTGACATATCATACTACATATTGGTCATTCGATGAGCCTGTAAGGAGTTCATCCCTTTTTTTTTTCTTTTGTGAGGAAGATTAGCCCTGAGCTAACGTCTGTCACCAATCCTCCTCTTTTTGCTGAGGAAGACTGGCCCTGGGCTAACATCCGTGCCCATCTTCCTCCAATTTACATGGGACGCCGCCACAGCATGGCTTGACAAGCAGCGCGTTGGTACGCACCCAGGATCCAAACCCTGGGCCACAGCGGTGAAGTGCGTGCGGTTAACTGCTAGGCCACCAGGCCGGCCCCATTCATTTTTTATCAATGGCAATCTACAAAGGAATAGCATGCCATTTATCATTTTAAATTACATTTAAACTACTTTCTTTGTAAGTTAAATTACAATCAATCTTATATGTAGTCATATTTAAAACGAATAGTTTGGTCATAATCTACATCCAGAAAATTTGATCACTGCCCAATTTAGAAAAACAAATCATTTCCTTTATCCAAAGAAAGAAAAGCCTGATCCCATCTTTAGGTTTAATTTAACCCTGAAGTTCCTTATTTATATCCCAGAGTTGTTTTTTATTTATTCATTCAATACATATTTATTGAACATTTACAGTGTGCCAGGTGCTCTTCTAAGTGCTTTCATAAAGAATTTAAAAGTTTATTACTATTTTATTTTGTTGTTGTTTTATTGAGATATAGTTGACATACAACTATCACTGTTTTCTTAAAAAAAACAAAAAGCATCAGTTTTTCAAGTCAAATTCTTAACACACTTGTATGCATACCAAAAATTTTAGACATAAAGTCTGGGGTTTTCATTGTAGGAAAGCGTTTACTAATGGACTTAATTTCTTTAATAAATACAAGGTTATTAAGATTTTGATTATATCAGCTTTGGCAAGTTGTATGTTTTTCTTGAGCAATTTGTCCATTTCATCCAAATTGTCAGATTTATTGGCATAAAGTTATTTATAATTTTCTCTTATTGCTGGTTTTTTTTTTTTTTTTTTGCAAGGAGGACTAGCCCTGAGCTAACATCCGATGCCAGTCCTCCCCTTTTTTCTTGAGGAAGACGCCCTGGGCTAACATCCGTGCCCGTCTTCCTCCACTTTATATGGGACGCCGCCACAGCATGGCTTAGCAAGGATCTGAAGGGATCCGAACTTGCGAACCCTGGGCCACCGCAGTGGAGCGCACGCACTTAACCGCTGCGCCACGGGGCCGGCCCCTCTTGTTGCTGTTTTAATGCCTGCAAGAATTGTATAATGTGTGCTTTTTCATTCCTGATATTGTTAA